AGGGGTCGCTATGAGTCAGGTCTGACTCGATAGCAAATAACAACAACAATATACCTATATAATATAGGTGTGTGTAAATATATATATATACACACACACACACACACACACACACATAATATAGGTATATATGTATACACACACACACACACACACATATATATATAATTACAATTGGGAAAGATCTGGCCAAAAAGAAGTTCACATAAAAATATAAAGAGGTTTCAATTGATCATAAATTCAGTGTAAGCCAATGGAAAGACATAAGACGTTGTTGCTGGGGGAAAAGAAAAATCTAAGGGCAATGTTAAAATGCAATATTAATTATATTAAGTGAAATACAGCCATCTTCTTCTTCATCCACCAGCCAATATCAAAAGCTTGACACAGTTATGGGAACCACACTTTAAAAAAAAAAAAAAAAAAAAAACTCAATGCCATTGAGTCAGTTGCAACTCATTGACCCCTCTTTGGGTTTCCAAGGCAGTATATCTATGGAAGTAGATTGTCCAATCTTTCTTCCGAGGAGTGGCTGGTGGGTTTGCACCACCAGCCTTCTGGTTAGCAGTCAAATGCCTTAGACACTACACCACCAGAGCTCCCTCACATTATAATAGGGAAACAAATTTGGATGTAACCAGAAGAGAGTGGATAGGTTGGTGGGAAAAGGGATTGGGGTCTGTAAATCATGTCAAATGAGGAATGGTGTCAAATGAGGAAGGGTTCATAGTGTGGCCTCCAGGGCCACATGAGTTGTCTTCAAATACAAGATGCATAACTGTTCTGGAATGCATTTGCCCCAACCATCTCCAGGAATGTTGTTGAAAGGATTCTACATGGGAAATTAGACTGGATGGCCTCATCCACAATATCCCTTCCTGCTTGGGGATTTTATGATTTGTGGTGGGAGAAAAAACACATCTATTTTCAATGGTCATTGATGATTAGGTCATTTCACTTCTTTTCTGGAGAAAAACATTCTCTAGTACAGACATAGTTTGGACAATCAACCAAGCTCCTGAAAGAAAATAGGATGTACTAATGGGTAGACAACTTTGGTAACTGTTGTTGTTGTTGTTATGTGCTGTCAAGTCAGACCCAACTGATAGCGACCCCTCCTTGGGTTTCTGAGGTAGTATTACTACAGAAGTAGATTGCCCAACCTTCCTTCTGAGGAGTGGCTGGTGGATTTGAACCACCAGCCTTCTGGTTAGCAGTCAAGTGCCTTAGACACTACACTACCAGAGCTCTCTCCTTTGGTAACTAGATGATGCAATAGTGACCTAACTTCTGCTCACTACACAACCATTGCCAGTTTGGCCAAAAAAAGACTAGAAATTAAGGACAGATGATCCAGCAGTAAAATCTATGTTGGTGGGTATCAGGTTGTGAGCATTACGGCCAGATCTTCTTGTATGTTCAAACATTTTGGAGCAAAGATGATTTAAGGCTTGTCCTCAGAGCTGTGGATTATAAACATCTGAAGACCTAAGGACACTTCAGGATCCTTTGAGTTGCTCATTAAAAATACATGTTCCAGGCTTCTATCCCATACCTACTGGATCAGAATTATTAGAGGTAGGGACCAGAAAGCTCATTTTCAACAATTTCTCCAGGTGAATCTTATGTACAGTATCTCAGAACCACTGTAGCCTCTGCCCACCACTCAGCAAGGAATTGACTCTTGCCAACAACTATATGAGTGAGCTTGGAAGAGGCTCTTTCCCTAGTTGGACTTGAGATAACTATAATTTCAGCTGATACACTGACCACAGCCTTGTAGGAACCCTGAGCTAGATGACCCAGCGAGGCCACTCTTGGATTACTGTCCTGAAGAAACTGTGACATAATGAATGCTGTTTCAAGTCACTACACTTTGGAGGAATTTGTTATTCAATGATAAATAACTAATATAAATGTTCTATAAAGGTTCTACCTTGAAATCAATAAGACACTTTGATATTTAACCTATCATTCTTCAAGACTACCCATCTCACCTGTCCCTAGTATATAAGAGTATATAAATGTCAAAAGGCCATATTTCATAATATCCACTATTTGCATGTTATTTGTGTGATAGTTTTCTATTTTGAACATAAATGTTCAATTTTTGAGCCTTGTCCCTTGGAGAGCTTCTTGGACTGTCTGAAAGGTTTCGGGGATAGGATAGAGAAGGTGAATAAGTGTCACACCCTGTGTGTTCCATCTGACCATTCTGAGGCTGTGTCTTTTCAGCTCAGAGCATGGTGAACTCCCTCTCTGCCAGTCTCCATGAGTATGAGGAGTGACACCTCCTCCAGTTCCAGGTGCAGAAAGAAAAGAAGCTACCAGTTTCTTGGCCGGCAATGGGAGGTATCTTTCCCTGAGAAAAATCAGTGGCAGGAACAAACTCCAAACTGCTTGCTTTCTAACCAGTACAGTGCTTATTTCCTCACTTGGGAGAAAAAAATAAGGTTTCCCAGGGCGCAAGTTTTCTTATTTTCTTTAGGAGAATTGTGTGTTGAGAAAGTGCAGTTCAGAGGCATTTATGTGTGCAAGCACCACAAGTCAACTGAGACAGACCTGGAGCCAGGACTTTTAATCCCTGCTCTATCACCTCCTTGAGGGTACCGGAATGAGCCCTTTCCCTTCTGGATTTTGCTCTTCCCATTTACAAAATAAACAGCCTGGGACCCTCCAGGATTAGTGCCTAGGAGTCCAGGGCAGGGAGGCTGCTTCTTGCCCTGTCATCTGGTCAGGGCCGGGGCAGCTCTCCTCAGAGAGCCAATCCCCCACCACTCAGCCACCTTGCTCTCTCTGAGGAGCGCCCAGAGGGACTGCTGTGCCACAGGGGGCTCCGGCAGATGTCTTCCAGCCTGTTCTGAATGGTGTCCTGCAGCTCCTCATCATCCAGCAAGACTGCTGCTGCCAGGGCCAGCAGGAAGTACTCAGTGGCATCGTGGGCATCCTAACCACATGGTATAGGGACAAAGAAGAGACAACATTAACAAATATTTCCAGGAGACATTGGGAAGGTAGTGCTGGGCTTTTGTCTACACAATATACTTTCCCATTTCCTTTCCCTGGTTCTTTAGGGGATCTCCTCTCCATTCCACTGTGGGCCCTGAGGGTTTGTTAATCATACTGCTCTCCTTCCCAGGCCCAAGGGTAGCACCTTCCTTACTCAGTGTTAGCCAATCATGAATCAGTGTCACCTTGGGCACAGTGGCCCAACCTGGCCAAACTCAAACATTTCCTAGGACTTTTCAGCGTGATTACCAGGGAAAGGGGTTTCTCATCCTTTTAGATGTGATTTTTGAGCCTGCCAGTAGCGGAAGGAGAATGAGACCAACAAATAAGAAGTAGAAATACACAGAGTCAAGAGATACAGTGAGAGGTGTAGAAATCCATGACATGTGAGTGCCAGGATCTAAAACAACCTCAAACTGAATCTATATCTGAAATTCTAGCTACTTGAGCCAATAAATTGCCTTATTACATAAACTAGTTTGAGTTCAGTTTTTCCCCTTGCAATCGATAGAATCCTTGGTTGATACAATCAGATCCCATAGACTTTGTCCCTGAACCACTACTGAGAGCCATGGGCAGACACAAGAAGGCCAGGGAGTTATTTCAGTGCCTCCATATCCCTCCTTACATGGCAGGGATGAGGAACAGATGCCTCTTTGGGTGACATTCAAAAAGGGATGTCTGGTTCTTATTAACACTCACAAGTCAATAATTAATTCAGACCAGAAACAAAGTCTGGCAAATAAAAACAGCAGAGCTGCCCTGAGGGTCCCTGGGGGCCAAACACAGGAATGACTCAGAAGCCACTGCATTAAGGAATTAAGGGTTGTGCTGGAGAGGACAAGGACCCCTGGCAAAGAGAAGCCAAAGCCTGGTTCAAAAGTCATAGTTGCAATAGAAAATTGCAGTCCAGCCACACAGTTGTAGGAGTGACTGAAAAAATAAGAAGTGCTAGATTCAACTCTAGCAATGCAAGCAAAAGAATCAGGGTGAGGGCCTCATTATCTCAAGCATATTAAATGTACCCAAATTTCCCATCAAATACAGCTTATATGACTTTATAAGTAGTGAGTTACAGTTAACTAGTTGGCTTGTCACCTTTTGTGCACATACAGTTAAGATTTATTACTTTTGATTTTAATGTTTGGGCTGATACAGGCATACCTTGTTTTAGACAAACATACTTTGCTTTATTGCGCTTCACAGATAGTGCATTTTTTTTTTTTTTTACAAATTGAAGATGTGTAGCAACCTTGCATTAAGCAAGTCTATCAGCACCATTGTTCCACACCATGCATTCACTTCATGTCTCTGTGTCACATTTTGGTAATTCTCACAATGTTTTAAGCTTTTTCATAATGCTATTGTACCGTAATGGACTACAGTATGGTGTAAAGATAACTTTTATATGCACTGGGAAACCAAAAAATTTGTGTGACTTGCTTTATTACAATATTCACTTGATTGCAGTGGTCTGGAACTGAATCCATACTATCTCCAAGGTATGCCTGTAACTCTTTTGTTTTGGGGGCTCGTATTTTCATAGGCCCTTGAGGTATCTGATGGATAAAGTAGCCTCGGAAATCACAGCAAAGCCAAGGCAAAGAGCAGCTATTATGTGTCTCCTCAGCAGAGACAGAAGCAACAACTTCCAGGTCTCCAGAGGGGCTAAGTGGAAGAGCCATTGTGTTTCAAGTGGAGCGACTTCTTATCTATGGGACAAAAGTCCTCACCTTAGCTCTTTGGGTGCCTTTGACCCTACCCTGAAGGCTGTGGTCACCATTGGGTGGGTCAAGAAAAGAATATGATTGGATTATAGCTCTCATGCAGTCTTGGAAGCCAAGTCTTTACCTTCAGCTGGTAGAAGGTGAGTCGGCCCAGGCGATAATACACCTTGGCATAATACAGGGCCTCCTTGGGGCTCTGAAGCCAGGGTGGACAGAGGGACAGAGTCTTCAGGTAGCAGTCCTCTGCCATCTCGTACATGTGAAGGGTATAGTATACCGTAGCCAGGCGGTGAAAGGCCACCAGCTCCTGCCTCTGATCTCCTAAGAAAAGGAAGACTAAGAAACAGATTCTGTAGCCAACACTTTGCATCATTCATTCTGTAAAATTTCTGAAGTTCTGCTAGGTGTCAGAGACTGTGCTTAGGGCTAGGAATATGAAACAGAAGCAGCTTCTACCTCATGAAACATATTGTCTCAATAACACAGCCATTTCTTAATAAATAAATGCACAACAAATATAAACTTGTATCTGTGATAAGAGTTACAAAAGAAAATATGGGCCTCTAAGAGTGATTAATTTGGGTATTTGTTCTGGTCAAGGTTTTCTCAGAAGATTCCCTAAAGAAAACTTTCTCCTTATGGCAGATGTTCCTATAATCCAAGATTCTAGAAAATAACAACTTTCCAAATTGCAAGATCTTCTTGATCAAGTAACTAAGAATAAGAATTCCTTATAATGAATGGTTCTGTAGAACAAATGTCTTCTCCACATAAAGTATCTCTCTGTAGCAAACATGCCAACTGCATTTAGAGTTCTCTTGGGCCATCACCAATAGCAGTTATCTTCTAGCTCCTTTGTAATCCCTGGATGGTGTAAATACTTAAGGCACTCAGGTTCTAACTGGAAGACTGGAAGTTCAAGTTCACCCATAGGTACATTGGAAGAAAGGCCTGGTAATCTAATTATAAAAAATCAACCAATTGAAAACTCTATGGAATTCTACTCTGATATCATGGAGGCACTATGAGTCAGAGTCAACATGAAGACTAGAGTTTTTTGTTTTGTTTTCTTTATTGTTGTTTTTTCCAGATCCTCTACTGGTTCAAAGTCTCAGATAAGTTGCGGAGAAATCACCCCACTCACTTTTAAACTATGCTTCAGAACATTGGTTTCTAATGGGTCTATGACCTATTTTGTTTTAGTGGATTTTTTTCTTTTAATACCTAACTAAACCCCTTTAATACAAAATGATCTTGTACACAAACAACGGCTTCCAATCTTGCCTTTGGAATGTTTGCAAGGTGCACTGTTTGATGCCATCTAAAAGCATTGTGTTTAAGTTTCATAAGGCCAAAAGCCAAAGTTGAAAGAAAAAGTCCAAGGGAGAGAAAAATTTTCTGACATGGAAAAATCTAGCTAGGAGAAATGCATGCTTAAAGGGTGTATGTAGCCTCCTTTCAGCTTCTGTTCATGGAGGGGAAGAGAATGCTGCGGGAGCTACCTGGGGCAGCCTAAGACCTTTACTGAGATTAGCAGACATATGGCTCAGAAAGTTTTCCTGCAGTAAAGGAAAAGTTAGGGAAAGGAGAGACACTTTAAAGTTAAATTAGATGCAATGAAGTCCAATGCCATCCACATCTGACACCTTTGAAAATGCCCAGAAGTCCCTTCTAGAATCACTATAGAAAATTCCACATCCTCCTCTAATCAAACCTGCTTTTTCTTAAACACCAATACTTGAAATTAGGTGTTTTTTGTTTTGTTTTGTTTTTTGTTGTTGTTTTCCATTCTGCTATTTTTCTTCTTTAATGACTTACATTGTTTTCCACTAGCTTTTGTTGTAAATGCATGCTATGTTGTGAGTTAAGTTAACGTTCCTAGCCTGGAACTTGACCTTCATTTACATTTTGATTCCATGGGAAAATATGCTTTTGACTCACAACCACCCAATTGAAAAATATGAGCAGAAGCCTTTTGTAATGGGTATATTCCCTACTCATACAATAAAATACCATTTACCCTAAGCAAAACTATTACTTTACTATACCAACTATAATATAATAATCAGAATGAAACAAGTTACACTTACCAAAGACAATTTATGCGTCAAGCACTGTGCTATGTCCTTTGCATGGATAATCATTAGTCTTCATAGCAACTGCATGAGGTAGGTGCTATTTTTAATCTCAATTTGCCACTGACAAACTTGAGGCTAAGAGAAGTTAAACAGTTCCTGTAAGGTCTTCCTGCTGATGACATTGGGCCTGAGATTAAAACTCAAGCTGTCTGATTTTAGAGCTTATGCTATTATTGCTTTGTTGTCTATCTTTTACTAACTAACTAACAAGATACCGTTGAGTCAATTCCAACTCATGGCAACTCCATGTGTGTCAGAGCAGAAATGTATGCTACAAGGTTTCGCATGGCTGATTTTTCAGTAGATCACAAAGCCTTTCTTCTGAAGTGACTCTGAGTGGATGCTAACCTCCAGTCTTATGCTTAGCAGCCAAATGTGTTAACCACTGGAACCATCAGGGGTCGACTTGCCCATGTCTAGATAGTGTTTAACCTTCCCATTCACAGAATCACCTCTCATTCATAGGACCACCTACCTGTGACTGTGCTGAGTCTGGCAGCTAAGGTGGCAAATTCCAACGCTTTCTCATAGCCTTCAAGGCTGATCTGCAGCTCAGTCAACTTGTTGAAAATCCGGAGCTCAGTTCTGACTGCCTTCATCCTCCTTGCTAAAGGAACAGCCCCAGCCTGAGAACAGAGGCACAGGGCACTTGAATTAATCTAGCTAAGGACCACTGATAGATACTGCTGCACCCCAGGAAAATTACTGAGGGGAGAAGGGATTATGGGAATTAGAGTGAACTAAATTGAAGTGGGGAGGACCCTGTTTCCATGCATGCATTTTCTCAACTGGCTCTCCTGATCCCTGCCCTTTGTTGCTTTGCCCAGATCTCAGATGTGGAAGAGGTAGAGGTCAACAGGTCCAACCATATCTCCTAAAATTGAGGAAAATGAGAGCAGGAAAGGGGAGGTGACTTTTTTCCAACATTACCTCCCAGTTATGAGCTCCATGGCACCCACTGTGCTAGTCTATAAAGTACATACATGGAAGACATGCAAAGGGCTTAACCTAGTCTCTGAACATGCTCAATAAATTATCATTTCTATTATTTTATTATTATACGGTTTTAGGACTGTCTCTTTATCTCTTTGAGGCTTATTTTTCTTATCTATTAAATGCATATGAGAACAAGCACCTCAAGAGCCAAGGACTTGTTTCTTGTTCTCCTCTGTCTCCCACCTCTAGATTGATCCCTGACACATATTGGGTGCTTAATAAACATTTGGAGACTGAATAAAGAAATGAAAAAAAAAAACAATGAATGAATGAGTGAATGAATTAATTAATATCTGAATAAATGAAATTTTAGGATCAAGTAAGATAATGAGGTTTTCCAAATTTCACTCAGATTTGAACAAAAATAGTAATTTTTGGTATAGCTCTTTAACACCTGGACATCTATTTAGTAACTATTACTTCTTAAATTAACTTCCTTTTATTATCTTGCCTCATCCTAAGCAATAATATCTGTGAAATCATATTAGATGAGTTATTATTATATTTTAAAATTTTTAATATCTTTTAATACATAGTTAATAAAAATGTAAAGAATGTTCAACCATGTGCCACTTTAAGTCATCTCCTATACCACCTGTGGTACATGAGAAACACTCTGGGAGACACCAAAGTTACCACAAACTGTTAAATACATCCATTCAAGAGGTATAATTATTACGGTGTAATTCCAGCTGTCAGTGAAGTCTTTCCTGTTGCTCTGATGCTGAACAGGTTTCAGTGGAGCTTCCAGACTAAGATGGTCTAGGCCGATCTACTTCTGAAAATTGTTGTTGTTAGCCGGGGAAAACTCTATGATCGCAATGGTCCAGTCCACAACCAATCATGGGGGATGGCCCAGAACTCAGCAAAATTTTGTTCCACTTTGCATGGGGTCACCGTGACAGGGCAACTAACAACAATGAATGCCAGCAAGTATAATTTATCAAGCCTGAGAGTGACTGAGTTTATCAGATCCTTCTCTGAGAGCCTCCTAGAGAGAAGAGTAGAGAGACCATGTGGACATTGGACAAAGAGGGAGAGAAAAAGAAATACCAGTCAGGAAGGGGAAAGAAGATCCCAGACTAAGTCCACTATGGTCTTACCAGACCTAGCTCAATGCATTGTGTAGCCCATGACTTACTCGATAATACTCCACTGCACGATGCCTGTTGCGGGTTCCATTGAAGAACACATCACCAGCTTCTTCATAGAGTTTGAGAGCCAGGGAGGGCTCATCTGACTTCAGGGCTGTTTGGATGGCTGCCTGGGGTGGGAATAGAGAAGCTATCAAAGGCAGAGAGAAAAGTTTTCAAACCTCCACAGGACTGGCAGTAGCAAGATCCTGACCACCTAGTTTAACTCTCTGCTAAAGTCTCCCACATCTTGAATCATCTTTCACACTCCTAAGGCTAGTAAGAAATGTTAGAGATTTTCTGATCAGGGTTTTCCTCATCGTGGTATGAAAGATGACTTTTGGTGATACAAGATGATTTTCAGTAGTATGTAGACAAACATTTACCATTTAATAGTTAAGTATTTATTTTAATGTGTATCATGAATTGAATTGTATTCTCCAAAAATATGTGTCAACTTGGCTAGGCCATGATGCCCAGTGGTTTGTCAGTTATGTGATGATGTAATCATCCCTCATGATGTCATCTGATATGATCTGTCAATCAGTTGTAAGGAGATTAGGGTAGGATGAAATCAGTTCATAGCCCTGATCTGATGTAAGGGAAGTTTCTGTGGGATATGGCCGACATCACATTTTATCTTACAAGATGGAAGCAAGCAGAGAAGAGGGAGCTCATTACCACCATGAAAGAAGAGCTAGGAGCAGAGTGCATCCTTTGGACCCAAGGTCCCTGTGTTGGGAAGTTCCCAGACCCAGAGTGTGGAAGTCTGAAGTGGAAGGCTGAAAGGGGCCCCTCACTGAACTTTACAGAACTTTAACAGACTAGCAGGCATAATTAAAGTAGACATTTGTCATAGTGACTAACTTGCTATTTCCCTTCTTTTTGCTTTCTTTTAAGTAAATAGAATACCCAACCTCTTTACAGATGCTGAGTCTGGGATAATCAGAGAAAAGAAGAACAAAGACATTCCTGGCAGTCCAAGGGATATTCAACCCCCTTCTCATTTCCCTATGTAATCATATTTACCCCTTTCCTTGAGGAGACAGACATTTTAGAGAAGTGATTTTGTTTCCTTGGGTATCGATACTCAATAAACATTTTGGCTTCCCCCTTCAACCTTTTGTGATCATTAGTTCTTCATGAGAGGGGGTAAAGACCTTGTTCTCCCCCAACAAGAGGAAGACTGATGCCATGGCACATAGAGATCTCCAAGGATGAATCCATCCATTGTGGTATTTCTGTTATAGCAGTACTAAATAACTAAAACAATGCATTTCAGTGTGTGTAGGGAGAACAGTACATCAAAATTTTTATTTCAGATAGGACTGTTTAAGATAAAGCTAAGCTTAACAAGCTACATTGATTGGCAGTTGAGTCAAAGAAAATAAGTAAAAAATGGTACAGAAAGTGTGTGTTTAGGGAAAATCTATGAATTTCATGTGTACATGATTGAAGTTGGGAAAAAGAGTGATCTAGTCCAACAGCTACATTTTCCAGATGGGGAAAATGAAGATCAGAAAGAATAAGAACCTTTCCTACCTCATACCAAGAGTTGTTGTTGTTGTTGTTATTTGCCGTCGAGTCAGCCCCGACTCATAGCGACCCCTCCATGGGTTTCCAAGGCAGTATCACTATGGAAGTAGGATTGCCCAACTTTCCTTTCGAGGAGTGGCTGGTGGGTTTGAACCACCAGCCTTCTGGTTAGAAGTCAAGTGCCTTAGGCACTATGCTACCAGAGCTACCAAGAGTTAGTGGACAATAAATACCCTTCTCCTGCCCCATTACCTCTTTGTCTCTAGAAGCTATTTCATATTCCATCTAAACAAAATGTGACAAGGAAGCTGAAGGTAAAGAATGCACCACTGCACAACCTCTAATACAATCACAGGACCTCAGAGAGCCTCAGGTAGGAAAATGATCAGCCTCAATAGCAACGATCCTGAAGAACAACATCTCTGTGGTAGCCTGTGGTTGAGTGACACCAGGACCAGTTGTGGTCAATGAACATCTAATGGCAGGTGTAAATACCTCCGGTTATTATTACTGAATATGTGGTTGCATGGAGGGTGAGGCAGTGAGAGGAAATCTTGGAGTCAGGAGACTCTGCCATCAGTGCAATGCTCAACCCAAAAACCCCTCTGCCATTAAGTGAATTCTGACTCATAGTGACCCCCCCATAGGGTTTTCAAAGCTGTAAATCTTCACAGATGTAGATTACCTCATCTTTCTCCCATAGAGTGGCTGGTGGGTTTGAACTGTCAACCTACCAGTTAGCAGCCAAATGCCTTGCCCACTACAACCAGAGCTCCTTAATAGACTGTGGTATAACATAAGCATAAATTTTATATGCACTTGGAAACCTAAAAACTTGTGTGACGAGTTCCAGTAAGATGGCAGAATATGCAGAAAGACTGCACAGAAGCTCTTCAACAAAGAAAAGGGGAACCAATTAACAGATACAGAGGATAATCCTGGACCCCTGAGCCTTGAAGGGAAGGATATAGGGGATCTCTTGTAACATAGTGCCTAAGGCACTTGACTGCTAACCAGAGTGCTGGTGGTTCAAACCCACCAGCCACTCCTCAGAAGGAAGATGGGGCAATCTACTTCCATAGTGATACTGCCTCAGAAACCCAAGAAGGGATCTCAGTGAGTTGGGTCTGACTTGATGGCACATAACAACAACAACAAACTCCAGCTAGCAGAATTTGCATGAAAATACCAAAAAAGGAGACATACGGAGCTGTAGTCTAGCAGTAATCCTGATGGCACAGACAGCTTGGATATTGATGAGTGGTCGTAGGACCTAAGAATTAACTTAAACTTTGACCCTGCTAGCCAGGGACTATACAGAGGACTGATCTGGTGGTTGGGGAATAAAAAGGGAAGAAGCAAAGAGGAAGGTGGGCTGAGTTGTGGACTTTTGTCTGTTCAGAGGGTGCAGCCATTTTGAAAGTTTACAAGTGGCTTGACTATTTTTGATATTTAAAGCAACAGCATTCTCCCAGATTCCAGGGACTCAAGAACAGGCTCCACTTGATGGGAACCCCAAGGAATCCCAGACCCAGATGACTGGAAAGGTGCAACATTGCCCTTGTTACTCTTATACCCCACACCCTCTTGGTGAACAGATGTGCAGCCATCCCTCACTCCCACACACTTTCTGGGCTGGCAGGAATTCCATCCTTGTCTGTGAGCTAGGATGGAGCCTGGGCACCCTGCCCCTCCCTGCACCAATTTTGTTTTCTTTTTTCTGTTTTTCATTTTGTTTGTTTTTGTCTGTTTTAAAACTATTATTATTATTATTACATTTGTCCTTTTTACTATTACTCTTTATTCTTCCGCTCCCAGGTTCTAGTTTTCAGCTTTTGTTCTTTACCCTGTTCCTCACTG